ATCCTAATTCTAATCTTCCATTCAACATTCTGGTTTCCCCACTGCCTCTATAAGGCACAGTACGTGCCTTAAAAAAATTAAGCTTCACCAAGTTGCCACATCCTAAGAGTACTGGAAAATAAAGCGTTAAGGTATTTCTCTAGTCTGTCCACGTCTTTGCCCCACAGGAAGGTCAGTCATAGTTATGGCATTGGTGACATGTTTATTTTAACCTGTTTTACAAATCAAGGAATAAAGGAGGAAGGTACTGCAGCCTATACCTATGGAATTTTATTTTATGGAGGTAAAAAGCATCCTTGCTGTCAGCCAGTGGTCAACTTCATGATCTAAGAGCCCCTCTGGTTTCTTTTGCTATTTCCTTTTTTGACCATTTGCTATCTAATGCTACTTTTGGGGTGATTCTCTTATATACTTCTTGTACATATAGGTCTATTTGAAATATTCTTGAGTGGTTTATCACAATGGTACTTGGTGATAACTGAAATTACGTGTGTGTGTATATATAAGTAATATACATATAAATACATGTAATATACATGTATTTAACATTTCACATCAAATGTTGGTTCCTTTGAATCTAAAGCCTGGTCCCCCTTTGAGTGTGCAGAACTCCTGTTGTCATATGGTCAACATGCATTATTTTATGCAAGGAGCATAGTTTACAAATGCATAGAATAAAATACCAGCTTCATGATGTCATGACAGTTTAAGAAATCAGAATTTTCCCGTGGAGTGTGATAGTCACTTGAGATTTAGGGACAACAGCAAGGATTCACCTATAACAAATAAATAGATTTGGTATCAAGTCTGAGTCGTATCCTTGAACCATTCTGATTTTGTTCAGTAGGGCACAATGGTGCACACTTACTCAAATGAATCTAGATGAATTTGTCAAAATTCTGGTATACAGTTTCCTAAATATAAAAAGCCTCTTTGAGACTTTCCCCTCTGTTTCTGGATCCTGACTTTTTTTTGGATTAATTTAACTAGTCATATCACTAAATCCAAACCGGTAAGTACAGAAGATAAATGGCTTTTTGGGATCATATCAGTCATTAGCCCATTACAATATATTGAAGAGAATTTAAGAACTTTTTATTTATTGAGATGATCAAATGTCTTTACATAACACTTGGGAAGAATCTGTTTCTACATAATAAAAAATTTTATGTGAGGGGGAGATAAGATATTGATACAGGAACAAAGTAAAAGTGCAAAATGTTCTCAGGCACCCAAATACTATCAGTCCCAAACTTGGAAATTTTAAGTAAAATTTATAAACCAGGAAAAGCCAAAACTCAGATTTATTATTCTCTTCTGTGAATCTTATGTAGGTATTAATTAGTATTTGTAGAGCACAATATAGATGAAATGATAGATGTCTTAAAAACAGCATGATGGTAGAGGACAGCATTATTTATGGAGACTTCATATATCTCAAGATAGAAAAAAACGTTCAAAGCACCAACAGTTAAACTTCTTTTTGAAAGTGGGAAATGCAAGGTATATAATGTTTCTGACTTAATGGCTAACAGCGAGTAGTTTCAACCACCTCATCAGTTATCTAGACCAGTGGTCTCTCAAACTTTTTGATTGCACATCCCTATCAATAAAACAGATTTTGAGCATGCACCCCCATATACGCTTATTTATAGGTTATATACTACTATGTGCATTATAAAACATACACAAACCCGTGAATTAAAAAAAAAGGATGGGATAAAGATGGAATGAACACTATTTTAAACATTGATTTCATTGTATTTATTAATGGTGCAACAAATATTTTCTTCCTGCAGCCTTATGGCTTGTCTTGTGTACCCCCCTGGGAAATCTGCTTTGGAGACCACTGATCTAGACATCATCAAAGAATTATTGTTGCACATGTCATTAGTATGTTCCATCATAACAATACCTCCATTTTAAGTAAGTCTCCCACCAGTGATTGAAATGCTGACCTCTAGTAGGATGACTCTGTTTCTGAAAAGAGAGTAAAAACACACAACAAAAACCTAAAAGCTATACAACGGTAGCTTTTGTACTTTAACAGATGTTTCTAGTTACTTACAGCTAAGTATTAGTTGAAAATTCCAAATTCTTTTTACTGTTGTTATCTGGGGTAGTCACACTAAAATCAGGAACAACACTTACATGTGGAAGCCGAGCTGGATCTGAGTTTTTGATATTCAGGCTACGAAATAGTCTCCAGTGCACATCAGGTACCACTTAGGACTATGGGCAACTGCTGTGCTTTTCTCAGTAGCTTCTCACTTCTCATACAGCCTTTAAAAATATTCTGTGGACCACAGGCTGGAAATCCCAGAACTGAGGTACCGCACGGTGAAAGGAGATCAAATGTGCAAAGTGAAAAAAATATTTTGGGTGGAGATTTGAAAAGACTCTTGTTAACTCTAACCATGAGCAAAGTCTGTGTGTGCGATGGAGCTCAGAGAGAAAGTTTTTAACATCCGGTCAGGCTGGAGATGTGAAAGAGAGAGTGAAATCTGGTAGTAAAGGCAAAAGAGCCTGCAGCGTATGACAGTCTATCAGCAGAGGATAGGGAAGCTTTGCAAGAGGATCTAGATAGATTGGATCACTGGGCCAATGCCAATGGAATGAGTTTCAACAAGGGCAAGTGCAAGGTCCTGCACTTGGGCCACAACAACCCCCTGCAGCGCTACAGGCTGGGGGAAGTGTGGCTGGAGCTGCCTGGAGGAAAGAGACCTGGGGGTTCTAGTTGACAAACGGCTGAATATGAGCCGGCCGTGTGCCCAGGGGGGCAAGAAAGCCAATGGCATCCTGGCTTGTATCAAAAATAGTGTGACCAGCAGAAGTAGGGAGGTGATTGTGCCCCTGTACTCAGCACTGGTGAGGCCACACCT